GTTATAAAATTTTGTGCCAAGAATATGGAATGACAAAGAGTCCATGAAGAGTCTTACTTTGAGCAAGATAGTCTCCTTAGCATTTCTCAATTTGTAAACTAAATCTTGTAAACCAAATGATGAAATTGTTGATGATTAGTTTATTACTCAAGTGTTGATTAACGTGATTATTTTCTATTGATTGTAAACTTAATTTAAAAATGGTTTAACTGAATAGATATTCATATTCGAAATGAATAAATTGGGCTCTCACGGTTGACTGTTTAGCCAAATAAAGTTGGCAACATTTAAAGAAAATCAACATTCTTACCTAAAGAGAGTGGTATGAGAAATATTTGGTTGTCGCTGCTTGTGAGATCTTTTTCACATGTGGATGGGGGGAGGGGGGGTGCATTTGATACTATAATGAAGTTTTTGTCATTGTCATTGAGACGGAAAGACGTAATATCTTTACCTTTCCTGTTTGGGCGAAACAACTTTTTTAATTGCATGTTTTTCTGGGACCAAGCCAACTGCAAATATCGTGAAATATCTAAAGTAAGCGTCTTGTTTGGACCTTTTGTTTTTGGAACTTTAACGAAAAACACCCGGTACTGTTCACTTTAACGAAAAATCATATTTTTATACTAAAAAGTCAATCCTGGTACTATTCACTCTACCCTTTATTTTGTTCTTATCATTAAAACTCAAAGTTTTCAAACTCTTTTCATTAGGTTTTTTTTTTTTTAGTGTTATACTTTCTTATTAGAGTGTTTATTTCTAGGTTTAGGGTTTTGTTTGTGAAGAAAATTGAGGTTCCAATATAGAATTTATTCTCAACAGTTTGGACTCGAATTTCTTATATTATTGGCTCGTATGTTTGGAGCTGCTAAGTTGAAAGAAGATCAAGAAAATTTTCAATCATTTTTTTAGATACTATTGTGGTTTTAATAGTCATGGTATTGTCTGAAAATTATTGGCAATTATCTTGAAAATGCAAGGATATTTAAAGAGCCTGGGAGATTGAAATGTCATGGGATTTTAAGAATATGAGGGTCAAACTTGACTAGCCATGGGGAAATTATCTTGATAGTTTGATAGCAAACTGTCAAGATAATGTGATTAGCTTGTAGGCTTGTACGTCGATGTCATAGCAAATTGCATTAAGATAATTTTAAAAGTTGAATTGGCTAATCAAAGATGTGATAAAAGATGGCAAAATAATGATCACATCACTTCCTTGGTGATTTTACACGCTGCTTGTTCCAATAGCATCAATTGCGTGCTGCTAGTAATTGTTGGATTTTTAGATCGTCAGCTCTGTTTCACTCTAACGATATCGATACTGTCCTCATCTTTACCACCTGCCCAATTGGTCAAGTGTGGGGTTGGATTTTTAGATCGTCGGCTCCGTTCCACTTTAACGACACCGATATTGTCCCCACTTGCCCAATCCGTTGTTCCAATAGCATCAATTGCATGCTGCTTGTAATTGTTGGATTTTTAGATCGTCAGCTCTGTTTCACTCTAACGATATCGATACTGTCCTCATCTTTACCACCTGCCCAATTTGTCAAGTGTGGGGTTGGATTTTTAGATCGTCGGCTTCGTTCCACTTTAACGACACCGATACTGTCCCCACTTGCCCAATCCGTTGTTCCAATAGCATCAATTGCATGCTGCTTGTAATTGTTGGATTTTTGGATCGTCGGATTTGTTTCACTCTAACGACACCAATACTGTCCCCATCTTTACCACCTGCCCAATCTGTCAGGTGTGCCATCTTTATCACAAAATGCCTCTGTATTAGTTAGAGTAGGGTAATAATACTATTTAAACCTATTGTGGAGATCCATAGCTTATCTGATGTGGGATTCTTAATACTTCTTCTCATGTGTAACCTCATTTAGTGGTTCACATGTGGAGATTCACGTCGGTAATTGCAAGGGCCCGAAACCGTGGGCTCTGATATCATGTTGGAATTTTAGATCGACAGGCCCGCCTCACTCTAACGACACCGATATTGTCCCCATCTTTACCACATGCCCAATCCATCAAGTGTGGGGTTGAATTTTTAGATCATCGGCTCCGTTCCACTTTAACGACACTGATATTGTCCCCACTTGCCCAATTCGTTGTTCCAATAGCATCAATTGCATGCTACTTGTAATTGTTGAATTTTTAGATCGTCGGTTCCGTTCCACTCTAACGACACCGATATTGTCCCCATCTTTACCATCTGCCCAATCCGTCAGGTATGAGGTTGGATTTTTAGATCGTCGGATCTGTTCCACTCTAATGACACCGATATTGTCCCCATCTTTACCACATGCCCAATCTGTTAGGTGTACCATCTTTACCCTATCTTTACCACCTGTCAAATCTATCAGATGTGCCATCTTTACCACAAAATGTCTCTGTATTAGTTAGAGTAGGGTAATAATACTATTTAAACCCATTGTGGAGATCTACAGCTCATCCGATGTGGGATTCTTAATACTCCTCCTCATGTGTAACCTCATTTAATGGTTCACATGTGGAGATTCACGTCAGTAATTGCAAGGGCCCGAAACCGTGGGCTCTGATACCATGTTGGATTTTTAGATTGACAGGCCCGCCTCGCTCTAACGACACCGATACTGTCCCCATCTTTACCACATGCTCAATCGGTCAGGTGTGAGGTTTTACCACAAAAAACCTTGGTATTAATTAGAGTAGGGTAATACTATTTAAACCCATTGTGGCACTTTATCCCCACCGATGTGGGATTATTAACAGTAATTATCATGTGGTATGAAGTTTTAGGAAGCATGGTGCAGTCGAAATTGCTTGTATAGTTTATCATCCAAGGCATACATGTCTCTATAATATACCGCACAACGTGAAAAGGACTTTCAATTCAACCATCAATGCTCTGTGAAACCCTTCACAATCCTGCGTGAAAAATACAAACGGATTTACTATCAGTCAAACACATATAGCGTTTGGTTAAACAAATTTGAGTTGGCAGCCGATGCAAATTCAGTTTGGTTAGATATGTTTGGGTTGGCAACCAGCAAATATGACAGTTTGGTTAAACAGCACCAGAGTTGTAGAATTTATCCAGTTTAGGAGTCTTGACAGTCTGATTAAACAAAAAGTTTCCTAAGTTCGACTGGCTATCTAACCCAAATCTTTGCCGACGAACACATTGGTCATGGAGGAGGTGCTTCGTTGTAGAAACTGCGCTGATTCGGGAAAGAGAGGAATCCGTAGGATGAGAACAGTGGCGGATCCAGGAAATAATGTTTGGGGGGTCAATAAGGATAGCGCGCAGTGCGTAAATTTTTTTTAACAGAAACGGCATGCATATTGTCATTTCATCGAGTCTTGGTAGGATAACGCGACCAGCTACTCCAAAATCCTTGTTCAAAGGTCCTAAACGTTCAAACCTGGAGGAAGAGATTGCTTCAACTTGTCGGCCTTCTCGGAATCAAACACACAAAGTGTGTAAAGGTACTTGGAGCACCGAACCTTGAACTTGACAGCATCCTTGGTCCTTTTGATTTTGACATTGCGGGCATCCTTCCTTCTTGCAGTTAGAAGGAAATCCTTGATCTTATGGATCTGCTTCGGCATTTTGCTTGTTGCTCGGTCGAGACCGGAGGCTGCGTGTTCTCTCTCAAAGTCCGCTTATCTCTATTTTGATGTTTCCTGGTATGAACTACCAGTACACTCTGATTTCAAATAGTTCTGAAAACAGAAGTACTTCTGGTGGAAGTGATAATTCCAATCCCACAAGTTCCTTGAATATAAAGAGATTTTGTTATGTACTCTCAAGAGAAGTGCGAAATCATGCATTTGATCTCAAATACTCAAGTCGTTGCTCTCCTGCCAAGAACTGCACTCATTTGTTCGCATCTGATTTGGCTCGTGTTGTTTCGTTGAAGCCTATCGAGTGTCTGAAAGATGCGAAAAGGTTGAGATTTCTGGTGGAATTTGTAGACAGCAACAACGTCTGGTATCGAAGGCCATTCGATCTCAATACAACTTTGATTGGAGAAGGCTCATGGGATGCAGAGACAAATCAGCTGTCTTGTGTTGCATGTCGATTCTTGGATGCAGCAGGTTCTTGGAACAATACTCGTGTTGGTGATTGTTCAACAAGAATTACCTTGAGGTTTCCTGCTTATGGACAATCGGGAAGACAAGTAGCATGGCAGGGGAGATTTGGAGCAACAAAAATGTCACAGAGTTGGGTTACTTTGAAAAGATCATGTTAAAAAGTCCTCAGGATGACATCGGAAAGGTTCTGATTCCTGGTGTGAAGTATGAGTACACCAAAACCTAACAAGTAAGCAATTTGTCTTCAACCACCCCAGCCGAGGAGTTCTTTCAGACCTTTCGTCGAACACTTGATGTGCAGCTAAGGGGTCTCACCAACAGCTCCAAGGGTCGCACCAGCAGCTCCAAGGGGTCTCTAAGGTTGTTTCCATGGCTTCCAAGGGGTCGTGTGACCCCATTGACCCCATTGTGGATCCGCCACTGGATGAGAAGGAGGCAGAGGTTGAAGGGACCAAGGAGAGGAAAGGAGCGGAGAAAGGATATGCGGTGGAGATGTAAGGCCCAAATCGATTTTTTAATTTTATAATATTTTTTATTTGGTTTAAAATAACTAACAATTTTTTATTAATTTTTTGTCTAAGTGGTTAAAATTTGGATCCTCCTGACCAAGACCAAATCCAACGGTTACAAACAAGAAGATCGTTTTAAAATTATGATAATTATAATCTTTAGATGAAAATTCAACGGCCCTGTCTTGATCAAGAGAATCATTTCCTTGGGCTCAGGGGAGGATCCAAATTTCTTCTAATCCAAATTTGACATCCATATCAAAATATGACTCTACATTTGCCACGTCATCATTTAACAATCAAATTAACAGAAAATTTAACGAGGATTGGACAAAATGCTGTGTTTTGCCTGTTTCTAGAATTGATTTAATTTTATTTTGGCCCTCGATAAAGAGTTTGCAAGTGAAATCTAGGTAAAAGCGTAATATTTTCATAGACATCGAAATTAAGACAGCCACATCACACAGTTTATAGAAACTTAATAGACACCGGAAACACAATCCACATAGCAGACTGGCTTATAGATGACACAATATTCAGATAACAAACTTCTCAACTGAGGGTTCAGAACTTCAGAGAGACGCATTCTGCAGAGGTCGATGTTGCTGCAGGTTGCAACGACTCAGAAACCGTGAATTTTGATATTGTCTTTCTTCACAATCCCAGCCTGTATAAAACAAAATTGTGAATCAGGACCAGACTCCTCCAAATTGGCTCTGTAAGACCATCTAATGGAATAATTAAGGAAGCAACTTTGACGGTTTTATAATACATGTAGAACATTTAACGTCATCAAACCATTCTGTGAACTACCTGGACTAGAAAGGTAGATACGTTCTTTCGCTGATCACCTTGAAGCTGAATGACCTACGGACAAACAACAATACAACAATTAGGGGGTGTGTATTAGAAACTATATTATAGATTTTACTGTTAAGCACGCACCTGTCCTAGTTCTGGGTCCTGGACAACGGTACCATTGCAGCAAAATTCCTTCTTAAGGTCTTTGAGTATCTTGTTATAGCTAAACTCTTTCTTCAATCCCTGCACAGTAGTCAGGCTTTTCCTGCCATTGCGTTGCTGTACACGGATGTGTACATACTCTTTTGTCCCAGCACCCGAGTCCTCAGCAGTTGCCTCGGCAAAGGGATCTGAACCCAAGAAACAGCAATTCAATTAGATAAATGGAGGGACGCACAAGAAAGGATGAAAGACAAGCAAGGCAACGATAGATGCTCACATCTCATAAGATCATAAAAAATTTAAAGCACTAATCCAATGTTCAAATAGTGAAAACAAAAACCTAATGTGAGGATGTCATGAAAAATAGCCTTTCATACTCCAGCCCCCTCATGCAAAATTAGACTAACAAGCAGCAGATATTTTTTTCCACGGTCTTAACCAAATATTCTATACTCTCGTTTCGCACTCTGAAGGATCAATAAATCAGATTTTTTTACTTGCCAACTATGTATAAGCACAGAAAAACTCATCAGCAATCAAGAGAACTGAGGGGAAAATAAAGGGGGTAGCCTTCTACAAGCGTATAAACTTATCATTTTTATCACTTACGCACAAGGCGGTGAAATTTTTTAGTTTTGAGCATAACTCAGATTCCTAAGAATGGTATGCTCTCCCACTTTACGTACAATTATTTAGAAAATATCAAACAACTAGACACAAATCTATATACCTTACAGTAAAAGCCCACTAAATTATAATGGAGTAGCCTAGCTCCATCACTTTTCATAAGTTTTTAGGAAAAGAGATGTAATCTATCCTAGTGAATGTGGATTTGATGCACAAGATCGTCTCTGCTGTGCTTATATTATATAAAAGTGAAAATGACTTCCGATCGTCCCTGCTCTGCTGTGCTCAGTAGATAAGAAGCTAAGAAGCAACAGTAACCCATAACTTTAATGCCTACAGTTCAAATCCCCACACTCACAACCCTATATTTTGACCAGTACATATTAAATCAGATCGTATAGACCACGTTCCAAACAATTGAACCAATGCCTTCAGAAAGAATTGTAGCCAAATCAAACCATGTAGGTTATCAAAAATGTCCAGATAAGCAGTTTAGCTTGGTTTCTTGAGTAAATCAGGTTGTCAGATTGCTGAATTACTCTAGTTGACACTATCTCTTGATAAACAACAACAAACCAATTTCTCAAACTCCACGTCTACTAAATTGCAACAGTATTGAATGTCGGTGACTAAAAATGCTCTCGAGCATATAGGTGCCCAGTTTTTCAACCAATCAAACGTCCTGGAGCTATTATCCAACTTATCCAATTGGATTCGAATACAGGCGCACACAAGCATGCGTTCAAGCACATAAACACACACAAATGAGTTACGAATCAGCCCTAAACATACCAAAGGCAGTGGGAAGCTGTACGTCGATGTCAGACATGAAACTTAGCTGATTCAACTAAGCGACCCTGCTAACCGGAATGCTCAGACCTGGATCACATTAAACAAAAAATATAAATCTTCATGTCCTCCATCACATATAATCAAGATAATAACACAAAAAGAACAGATCACATAATCGAAAAGAATTTTCGCAACTCTTCCGGAATAATCAACTGCGTAATCACAAGGGAGTAAACAAAATCTATATCGAATCAATTGCAATCCCACCCTCGGAAAAAACTAATTGACACCGAAAAACAAAGAGGGTTCGAAAAAAGCACCAAACTTTTCGGCTTCATCTAATCAAACATGAAAATAATATATTTTTCAAGTACTTTACTGGAAAAATTAAAAATCAGAACACCAAAAAGAACTTAATTCCCAGTTTTTTTTCCAGAGCGTCCTGTAAATAATAAAAATTAATGTAATTCCACCTCTCAGAATAATATCAATTTAAAAAAATTAAAAAATTAAAAAATTTCCAATTTATACAAAACCCCTAAAATTCGGACCAGATATTAAACCATCAAAAACCCTAGAACAAAGACGAACAGAAATCGGTAAGGGGATCGAAGAACGAATTACCTGATCTGATAATTAGGGTTTTGGAATTGGCGAGTCGGATCGAGAAAAAACCCTAACCCCAAATATCAGATGAGCCTGAGCGAGCTCTCTCGACCGCGTTTAGTAGATTGCTGTTTGGGAAGACGGAAAAAGTGAACAGAAAATTGGGGCTTTGAGATAGATATTTATTGAATAAACAAATAAACAAATAATAATTAAATAAACTTAAAAATATGTGCAAGGGGGAGAGTGGTTTTGGTCATTTGCACGCGCAGGGGTTTCATTAGATAGTCCACGCGCTGATGAGAGCACTAGTTTTGGGTTTGGTTTATTTGAGTGACAGCTGTGGGTAGCTGGGAGCGAGTAGAAGTTGAAACAGAAAAACAATGTCTGGCTTTCTGAGTTGGTAAGTCGGTCTAATGACCTTGTCCATTCTGGGCAATAAACCGCACCGTCTCTTGCCGAGTCCGCGTGAAGGGCAAAATAGATGAGTCTTCCTAAAAATCTAACTCTGATCTAAGTTAGTATTACAGTTTTGTAATATTTCTGTTTACTTAAAAATAGAAAGTCTCATATTTGACACATCAAAAATACATATAGAAGTTGAATACCCATTTCTTAGACTAGAATATCTCAATTCTCGTAGAGTAAAATATCGTTATAGAAAGAAAAAATCACACTTGTATTTATTTTTTTATTGTTTCCACCCCCTGAGAATTTACAATTTAAGGTAAACTCCTTCAAAGTCAAAACTATCTTCAAAGCTACTTAATATAATTTGGGTGCGGTTGTTGCACCAGACTGTCTCGGACTGAACTAGCTTCAGAGACTAAGCTGGACTGGCTTAAACTAGACTAAGCTAAACTATATTAATGAAACATTTGGTGCAGTGTCAGATTAAAAAGAAGGATAATGAAAATCAATGAAAAATAAACCTATTTGAACAATCACAACAAAAGAATTCGATAATACGACATCATAAACTAACCAACCTAGATTCATTATAGAAGGAAAATTGAAATTAACTAAATCCACTTTTCTCTACCTACCCAATTCAAACCAAAACAAAACAATTTCTCATAATTAAAACATAATAATAAATTTCTCACAAAGCTACCCAATAAAATAAAAAATTGGGTAAAAAATTGTATTTTAATCCTTTTGTCCATCGCTATATGAGGTTCTAAAATGTGAGCCCAGAAATTGTGTTGCTCCTTAAATTGAACGACATCGTCGCCACAACCACAAATCAACAAATCCAATTGATGGCACTACAGATCCATCTTCGTCACCTTCGTGCAGTTGTGGTCGACCCTAGCCTTAGGCTGTCGGTCTTCGAACTCAGTCTTCAAACCCAGCCTTCGAATGTCTCATCGTTCGGGCCACTGTTGTAGACCCCCAGCCCTCAATCGATCACGATAATCAAATAAACATTCCCTTTTCTAATTGATCCACCACCCAAGGAGTGTTCTGTCACCTCGGCGAAGAGGAGTGGGTGGTGCTGACATCGATCCGAGTCTAGGTTGTCGGTGCAAAGAGATAGAGGAAGGGAGAGAGAGGATGCAAAGTGCAGGAACAGACGTGAGAAGACGAAGGTCTTAGCAATCCCATGGTTTTGCGGGGGTCTCGCTAAGAACTTCTAGTGAGGCCCTTAGTCGACGCGTATCCCGGCTAGTACCATTAAAGTTAATCTGCGCGAGTAACAAACACGGTACTGGACAAATCTTTAATCATGTCTAGTCCAACAAAGGCTAACGAGTGCAAACAAACGCACCCTTTAGGGTAAACTCCACATTAGTAAAACTGTTCGTCAACCAAAAACTAATAAAATTATTACTATACCCTTTAATACAAAACTGAAAGAAGATATTAGAAAATAAAACAATTTGGGCATTAAAGTAATTTTGTACAAATAAGTTTTTTCTAAGTACATCGATATTTTTACACTAGGGGGAGGGGAAGTTCGGCTAAGCCACACAATGGGCAACCTTATTTGGTATCGAATTCGCCTATTAGGGAGAATGACAAGTCATCAAATGTAGTTACTGTTAAATAGTTTGTTAAAGCTAAATGTAATCAGTTTTGTTAGTAACTGTAGTTAGTCAAGGTAGTTAAGGGTATTCTTGTAATTAGCCTAAGGCAGCTAAGGCTATATATATTCACATCTGTACAACTGAATTATTGATTCAATACAATCAAGAAAACTTACTGTTGAAGTTTTCTGTTTCTATATGGTATCACGCCATCCTGCTTTACAGCACCGACCTTCTCTTCCGCTCGACCTCTCGATCGATTCCTGATCGATTCTTGCTTTCTTCTTTCTGATTCTTCAGCTTTTCATTCCCGATCTCTCTTGAATCTTGATCGCTGCAAGCTATGGTTGCTCAATCTGCATCGCAACCTATTAGGTATTCTTCTCCGATCATCTCTCATTCGGTCCAAAACCCTAATTCCTCTTCTAATCCGAGTCCTCTGAATTCGTATACTTCTCTTACGATTCACAACATCGGCAGTATGGTTCCAATCAAGCTGAAAAGTTCCAACTATCTGCCATGGCGAGCACTGTTTGCTCCAAATTTCCGGCGATACAAGCTTCTTGGTATCATTGATGGCATTGAGATTTGTCCTTCACCATTCTTGCCCGATCGCTCAATGAATCCTGCCTTCGAGGATTGGTATGAAAAAGATCAAAACCTATTGATCTGGCTCAATTCTACCCTATCAGAAGAACTCATTCCGTTCACAGTTGGTGTTTCTTCTTCTCGAGAACTCTGGGTAAAGCTTGAACAAAGTTTTGGTGGAATTTCAGAGGCTCATATTCACCAATTACGATCAAGACTTCAATCAATTCAGAAAGGATCTCAGTCCATTTCTGCGTATCTTCAACAAATCAAGGAAATTGCTGATTCCTTGCACATTGCTGGTGCTTCGGTGTCTGATCGTGACCTAATTGCTGCCACTCTATATGGATTACCTGATGAATTCGAGTCTTTTATTGACTTCATCATGCTGCGGCTCTCTTCTACATCTCTTGATGAACTCCATGGCCTCTTACTCACCAAGGAGTTGTCTATGGCTCGTCGCAAGGCTGCTATTTCCTCATCTGCAACTGAACCTTTTCAGGCCTTCTCAGTGCAATCTCAGCCTCCCTTGCTTTCTACTCCATCTGTTTTTTCTACTCAGTATCAACCATTTCACTCTGCTTTCCGATTTAACTCAAATCGTGGTAAGCCAGCTCGAGGTAATTTCTCATCCAATCGCAGCAATCGCTATTTTCATAATAATAGGGGCACTTTCACCAACAATCGTGGCAATCGAAATTATCAAGGTTCTTCCACTTTCAAAGTTCCTTGTCAAATTTGTGGTTCTACCAGTCATGAGGCAATTGACTGCTTTGATCGTATGAATCCGGATATCTGCGGTCGAATTCCTTCAGCCAAACTTGCTGCAATGTGTGTGCATCATTCAGCAAAATCTGCTCAGCCTTGGTTAATTGATTCTGGCACCACCTCCCACATCACCAATGATGTAGCCAATATTTCTTCTCTAACTCCTTACACTGGAGAGGACAAAGTGTACATTGGAGATGGTAAAGGATTATCTATCCATCATATTGGTTCCTTATCTCTGCACACTCCTCATTATTCCTTTAAACTGAGCAATGTTTTACATGTTCTTTTCATGAAACATAATCTCTTATCTGTTTATCAGTTTCTTAAGGATAATAACTGTTCATTGACTCTTGACCCTTATGGATCCACTGTCAAGGATCGCATTTCGGGGAAGATGCTTTTGCAATGACCTGTTAGGGATGGTTTCTATCCTCTCAACAATTCCACCAGTTCTTCTTCTTCACCTTCAGCGTTTTTCAGCATTCAAGCACCAGTCACTGTATGGCACAAGTGCCTCGGACATCCTTCCTCCTCAATTTTTCGAAGAGTCATATCTACCAATAATCTTGCACTGCAAGGCAAGAAAATTGTTGATTTTTTCTGCTCAGATTGTGCACTTGCTAAGAACCACAAGCTTCCTTTTGGAGTGGCTTCTTCATCAACAACTCACAGTCTCTAACTTCTGCATTGTGATCTGTGGGGACCTGCCTCTATAACATCTAATAATGGCTTCAAGTATTATTTACTTCTTGTTGATGATTTTAGCAAGTACAGTTGGTTTTTTCCATTGAAGTCTAAGTCCGATGTATTTTCTACATTTGTTACTTTCAAAACCTATGTAGAAAACTTCACTGGCAATAAAATCAAGATTCTGCGTTCAGATTCAGGGGGTGAATTTACTAGTCACTCTCTTACTTCATTTCTTCGTGATCATGGTATATTGCATCAATTTAGTTGTCCACATACGCCTGAACAAAATGGCTGTGCAAAGAGAAAGCACAGACATCTTGTTGAGACAGCTCACACATTACTTGTAGCTTTTCAAGTTCCTCAGGTTTTTGGGTTAAAGCCTTCTCCACTGTAATATATCTTATAAATCGACTTCGTATTTCTGGTCTTACAAAGTCACCGTGGGAACTTCTTTTCCACCATCATCCAGATTACTCTAAACTGAAAGTATTTGACTGTCAATGCTATCCCTGGCTTAAACCGTACATTCACAGCAAATTGGATGCTAAGAGTAAAAGTTGTGTGTTTTTGGGCTATAGTCTTCAACATAAAGGCTATAGATGTCTTGATCCTGTCACTAATAGAATCTACATATCAAGACATGTTGTCTTTGATGAAACAACTTATCCTTTTACATCATCGCCGCCCAATAGTCCCACTTCAGAGATTTCATTTTCTACACCTTCTCCATCCTTTGACCTTAAATTCAGCAAACATTTTTCCAGTTCTCCTCCAGTCAGTACCTCTTCAGCACCACAGTGTTCTTCTGTACCATCCTATCAATCGGATTACATCTTCCAATGAAACTTCTTTCTGTAATCAGTCAGTGGATAATTCTCACACTTCTTCCAGCTCTGCCTCTTTCAATGACTCATCTTTCTTACCTATTCAGCCTAGTAATCCACCTATTTATGGGAATACACATCCTATGATTACAAGATCTAAGGCTGGAATATACAAGTCTAGAGCTTATGCAGCAATAAAACATCAACTTCCAGTTGATCTTGACTTTGTTCCTAGTACTTATTTACAAGCATCAAAGCATGCTCACTGGCGAGCTGCAATGCAGGCTCACTGGCGAGCTGCAATGCAGGCTGAATATAATGCCTTAATAACCACAGGCACTTGGTCTTTTATTCCCTCTCATCCTTCTCAGAATGTTGTTGGATGTAAATGGGTGTTCCGGGTCAAGAAAAATCCTGATGGAACCATTGACAGATACAAAGCACGCTTGGTGGCAAAGGGCTTTCATCAGCAAGAATGAGTTGACTTTCAAGAAACCTTCAATCCTGTTGCTAAACCAGTCACCATTCAGATTCTTCGTACACTTGCTGTCCAAGATAATTGGTTCTTGAATCAATTAGACATTAGTAATGCATTCCTCCATGGTGATTTAAAGGATGATGTTTACATGCAACAACCTCCTGGTTTTATTGATCCTAACTCTCCCCATTCTGTTTGCAAGCTGGAGAAATCCTTATATGGCCTCAAACAAGCTCATCGAGCTTGGTTTGATAAATTGTTTCAAGCTCTTCGAACACTCGGCTTTCATCAATCTCAATCTGATGCCTCTTTGTGTTGTCTTTAATGGACCTTAGTTGGTTATTGTCCTTGTTTATGTAAATGACATCTTAGTTACTGGACCCAACTCTCAACTCTGTCAATAGTTTATCCAACAACTTAGTACTCAATTTCCAGTAAAAGATCTTGGTCCTTTACACTATTTCTTAGGGTTGGAAGTCCACAGATCCAACAAAGGCATATTTCTTCATCAGACCAAGTATTTACTTGATCTTCTTAAGAAAACAAATATGGAGGGTGCCAAACCTTGTTCGACTCCTCTTGGTTCTTAGAAACTGGATCACAGTGGGCCTCTCTTGTCAAATCCCACTGAATATCGCTCTATAGTTGGTGGTTTACAATATCTCACTTGGACTCGACCTGAACTTGCCTTTGCTATTAATCAGATATGTCAATTTATGCATGCTCCCCGAGAACAACATCTTCAAGCAGCAAAACGGGTTCTCAGATTTCTTAAATGCTCTATTTCTCATGGTTTATGGTTCACCACAGGTCCTATTAACCTTTCAGCATACTCTGATGTTGATTGGGCTGGCTGCACCTTTGATAAGCCGTCCACCAGTGGATATTGTGTATTTCTTGGTCCAAATCTTATCAGTTGGAGTGCAAAGAAACAAAGTACTGTTGCTCGTTCCTCCACATAAGCTGAATATCGTTCCTTAGCACATTCTGCTGCAAAACTAACTTGGGTTTGCAAAATCCTCAAAGATCTTCATTCTCCTCTCCCTACACTGCCTACCCTATGGTGTGATAATATTTCAGCAATCTCTTTGGCATCTAATCCTATTTTTCGTGCTCGCACCAAGCATATTGAGATTGACTATCACTACATCCGGGAGTTGGTTCTCGCAAATCTCATCAAAGTCTACTATGTTTGCAGTGAAGACCAATTGGCTGATCTTCACACCAAATCTTTGTTTAAAAGCAGATTATCTTATTTGTGTTCCAAGCTTCCAATTGGAATCCTATCTGATTCCTCTTTTAGCTTGAGGGGTGTATTAGGGAGAATGACAAGTCATCAAATATAGTTACTGTTAAATAGTTTGTTAAAGCTAAATGTAATCAGTTTTGTTGGTAACTGTAGTTAGTCAAGGTAGTTGAGGGTATTCTTGTAAGGCAACTAAGGCTATATATATTCATATCTGTACAACTAAATTATTGATTCAATACAATCAAGAAAACTTACTGTTGAAGTTTTCTGTTTCTATATCGCCATCCACGAAATTCGAACCTAAGACCTCTCACTTCTAAGTGAAGATGAATACTACCAGACCGTAGTACTAAGTGGTTATACAAACAAGTTTTTACTGTTTTTTTTTCTAAACTCCACAACTATGTCACTTTACTAAGGAGCAGGGGAGTGGGCTTAGTCTCACAACGGGCTAGCAATAATGTGATTCAAATTCACATTTGACGAGAATCGAACCTGAGACCTCTCATTTATAAGTAAAGATTAATAACATTAGATCATAGTACTAAATGACCTAAATGAGGCATCTAACATGTGTGTTTCAAAAGTTCTTTTCTTTCTTTTTCTATATGACTGTACGTCTTGTAACTATGCAGCCAGTCAGAAATACATTTTATTGTAAAAAAAATTAAAAAAAAAAGAGTAATTTTAGCCAATTTCAGAAACAGTTGGTATCCTAAAAACTCAAAAGTATGGTTCAACCAGTCTTCTATCTCTTTCCAAGATTCAAAATCTTCCAAACAAATTGTTTGTAAATTTGAAATCTAGCATCCGTGATTTTCTAAAATTTGGATTCTATTTTTTGATAAGTGCTAATAATATCCTATTAAAACTTGGCGTGCATGCCAAGGAAAATAATTAATCCTTATGCGTGGCATAGACTTGTGGCTTTTAATGCATTAAGTCGGCATTCGATCCTATAAATTAAGGCTCTTCGATGCCAAATCATTCATCGTTGAAAGCAAAGGCATATAGAAGTTCTGTGTAGCTGGCTCTCGTTCTCTCTCAAGGTTTGTACATATTTTCCATCATATTCTGCAGTTAACGTTCTTCAGTATGTTTTTAGGGTTTGATTAATTGTTTGATTCAATCAGTTATTTCCTAGAATTATTTTTTATCTTTCATTTTTTTATGAACGCCTGAGAACATTGGAAATTTAGAACACAAATTTGATTAAAATTTTATATATTCGTTTGATTTGATTAGTTACTTTGCTACAATAAATTTTGTATAAATTACAGGAAAATATTGGAGGTTGTTTTGTATTCAATTTGAAAAATAAATTTTAGTTTTAACAAAATTTTAGTTTTAACAAGTGATGAATGTAAGGAGTCTTTTGTTTCGAAAACAAAGAAACTGATACCAAACGGGATCTTAAGTAATTAAGGGCATTGATTTACGATTTTTTTCTTCTCTAAACAGATGCAGATCTTTGTGAAAACCCTAACCGGAAAGACCATCACCCTCGAGGTTGAAAGCTCCGACACCATTGACAATGTCAAAGCCAAGATCCAAGACAAGGAAGGTATTCCCCCAGACCAGCAAAGGCTGATATTTGCCGGCAAGCAGCTCGAGGACGGCCGCACCCTCGCCGACTACAACATCCAGAAGGAGTCCACCCTCCACCTAGTTCTCCGTCTCCGTGGTGGTATGCAAATCTTCGTCAAGACCCTTACCGGGAAGACCATTACTTTGGAAGTGGAAAGCTCCGACACTATTGACAATGTTAAGGCTAAAATCCAGGACAAGGAGGGCATCCCTCCGGACCAGCAGAGGTTGATCTTTGCAGGCAAGCAGCTCGAGGACGGAAGGACCCTTGCCGACTACAACATCCAGAAGGAGTCCACCCTTCATCTTGTACTCCGCCTCCGCGGTGGTTTTTGAATTCGAGCTCATTGATGCTTGTCCCAGCCTCCTGGTCTGAGGAGTAGAAGTGAATCTAATGTATTCTTTTGTGGCTGTGTATTGCCAGTAATTTGGGTTATTAATACTGCTTTCGTATGTGCTTTATGCTGTTGCAATTTCTATTATTTTGGTACTCCTGCATTCATTTGTTTAAATTGTGTGTTGAGAATATTTAAACTAGCATTTGTATGTTGAGGGATAACTTATACCTTACGTGCATGTATGTATATTGGTGTGTTACGAAAAATTCTGTTAACAATGTCACTAATTCATTATCTAGAAAAATGTACTGAATTTGCATGTGCATCAGTATTGTATTGATTTTGTTGAAAATATATCGATACTTTGTCGGTACATTCTGTTGGTCACAGTAAATATTGGTGAAATATATCATGTACTCATGGTCTAGCCTAACTGTTCATTTGCAATGCAAATAACACCTCATAGCAAAATTGGTAGCCTACTTTTCCAATGACCAGTGTAACTCTAAAAGTGACTCCCCCAACTTCATGATCTGTGCATGACCAGTTTTGGGTTGGAAGTCACAAATAAGCGAAGTACATACACTACAAGAAAAAAGGCTAATTGTCACAGAGCAAGTGCGGTCGTTGCTAGGAAAAAGGCCAATTGCCACAGAGCAAATGCGGTTGTTGCTAGGGTTGTTATTGCTAAAAGTGTGACAATTGCTATGCTAACAACGCCCCCCCCTCTCTCTTGCTGCTTCTCGCAGTGATAACTACATATGATATGAGTCAACTATGAAGTACCTCATCAGCGATGTAAACTAGCTATGATTGACTTACATTGCTAGCTAGACCTAACTGTGCAACACCATTTTAATTCCAAAATTGATCTTGGGAGTTTCTTCAAGATCTATCCATGACCAGTTGCTAGGAGTGTAGTTACCAATGGCAAGTACTCGTCCATGTTCTTTCCAGCTGACGGTTGTATAATTAGTTGAATAGTTATTCAACTTCTAATCATGAGATTGTGCTAAAAGTGGGAATGGCGTTTTTGAATGGGCAATGCTAGGAATATCAAATATTAGATAAATTTTGTAGACAATATAATGTGATTGTTGATTAACGTGTTTATTGTTTATGATGACACATCACATGATTTGCAAATATGGTCTAAAAATTTGGTCTACGCATTGCTCATTTTGCATTGAGGAGTTCTTACTGTTCTTCTGTTGTATAATTTAGACCCATTGGGCCAACACTGAAAGGCCCAGTACCATCACGACCTCACCCCGCTCATACCCCCCCCCCCCTTCCCTCTCTCTCTCTGATCTCACCCTCCTCTCCTTCCTCACGCGGGAATTGTGGACTCTCACTGTAATTGCAATTTGTCGTTTAAAAGGTACGAAAAATTTCTGTATACAATTGAATTTTAAAAGTGATTTGATATATTTGTTTGGGTTTCTTTAGGGGTCTGTCACTGTCAGTAAACTGGTTTTGCTTGTGATTTCTCGATAATTTGCTGAGATTTGCACTGAGATTTGGTTGTTAATGATATTTTTTGTATGGGATTTGGTTATGTGCACTGATTCCTCATGGCATTAATGAATTTTGTTTCAATTTTTTTGGGAATTGGGATATTTTCGTAGTAGGTCGATGTATGGAGAGAATTTGGCGATTAGGGTTTAGAAAAATGTTTGATGACTGAAGCTCTTGGTGTCTGCTTCTAATCAACACGGCTATGGCCGAAAGGATCTTGGGTAATTTGATTTATGTTGAGAGGGGTTGAAAGTTGACACATTTGGATGTGTTGACTATGGCCATAAGGAGCTTACTGACCTGCACTCAAGCTCTGTACCTTGAGTCCTTCACCTGTGTGAGCTCCCTTGATTTATCACCGTTGGCAAACATTAAACGTCTAGATATCCGTTAATATTTGTTGTGCTAAAGGAGTTATAGTTTGTTTTTCCGTATTGTACTGTGTGCGCGTTTGGATGGGGGACTTTGAAAGTTTTATAGAACTTAGGCTAAATAGTTATGAAGGCACTACAAAAATCATGTGGATCGACTGTGAAATTGACGTGATGCTATACATTTGCAGTGCATTTGTAGTGTTCTAGTGTAGGTGCTATACATTTGTAGATTTTAGTGTTCTAGAGTAGCGTTGAAGCGTTTGAGTAGTTCAGTAGTCTCTTGTAGTGCTGTTTTAAGAATAGAGTTCGATGTTCTTTGGGACTTTGAAAGTCCCTCATCTAAACATTGCATAAGGAATCGATAAATGCATTTGGTCAGATCCATCTTCAAAAAGAAAACTTATATAAGAAAGCTCTTCCTTTAAGAAACAAGACCTTAGACTACTCTGTACACAAAGTGGAGTGATAAACTACTATCCATGGTATCTAATCTACATGTCCTATATTCAAAATAACAATAAGGTATGTCAATATGTCATGGAGTTACCATAACATTGATAGTTACTTGAAGGTAATTAAAAGTGTGTAAAAGCTGCTTTTGAAAAACAATGTCCAGAGAGAATGGCTTGTTGGCTTATAAGATTGGTGGATTGAGTTTTTATGGGAAAATGATCGGGGTTCTGTTCACTCTTGGGGTGTTTTGCTTTTATGTTATTGGAATGTTATAGCGAAGGTGTATGGATTTATATTGATTTGTGTTATTTGTTCTTACTATAGAAATTGATGTATGTTGTTATATTAAAATTCTACTGTGTTTTCTTTCTTTTTAATTTGTTCTTACGTTTATAGTTGTGTATAGTTTGTTTAGTTGTGTGAAAAACATATATTACTAATTTACTAGCCACGTAAAACAATTACGAGAAAAGAAATCATCTTTAGTGGGTATTTAGTTTCTTTTTGATAATAACCAAAAGAAAAAACTGTAACAGTTGCCAAACAAGCTTTATGTTATTAGTGTTTTTCAAATGAAAACTAAAATCTAATATTCAAAAACAGTGAACTGAAAACAAAATGGTTATCAAACAAGGCCTAAAAGTTGAGTATTTTTTTGTAATTTTGTAGAGAAACCTTCAAACCTCTCGCTCTTATCTTAGATCACCATGCCTCCAGTTGGCCCTCGATCTGGTGATGCAATCTTCGCCAACGTGGAACGTGTGGTAAGTGAAACCCCAAGTCGCCTTAATGTTTTCTTTATCCTCATAATTTGGAAATTGAATTGGTTTCAGAATGCGGAGTTGTTTACATTGACGTACGGTGCGATTGTGCGCCAGCTGCTTACGGATCTTGAGGAAGTTGAAGAGGTTAACAAGCAGCTTGATCAAATGTAATTTTTTTTGCTTTACTTTAATTCTCTATACTCAAGTTTGATGTTGCATTTCTTTCTTTTTTCTCTGAGAATTATGCCTTTCTTAGAAGTTTAGTTCTAGCTTTTACATTATATGGAAGTGTGTGCTTGCATGCATCGACAATTATCTTGTTTTCTTCATTTTTTTGTTGTTGTAGGATTCTGTTTATGGCTGTTAATTTATGTCAATCTTTGTTTTGAGCTATAAATGTGTTGCAAGGAGGACAACTTTTATTTCGTGACATGCAATGTTTGATGACCAGTAACCGTAACTTTGATAAAAATATAGTTAATTTTCAGTTTAGCTGATTACGTGACAATTTAATTGCATCTCAGGGGCTATAATATTGGCATTCGATTAATTGATGAGTTTCTAGCAAAGTCTAATGTATCTAGATGTGTTGACTTCAAAGAGACAGCTGAAGTAATTGCAAAGGTTTGTTGCCACCATCCGTTTCCTTTCAAATTTGAATATTCTGTGGATCTTAATTGTTCTGAAACCTGGTAAACTGTTTCTTCTGTGCTGAACTTTGGTACCTGTTGCATGGAAGTTATTGAATCTTCTATTACTTCCCATGGTCTTTTCAACTGTTTGGTACAAATATCTTTCAGTAAATGTTGGTGGAAATTTAATTCACTTGTCCAATCTTTGCCTTTCTTGAGGATGACAGCGGAGGTTTGTTAGTGAAAACCAAGATTTGAATCATGGTTAATGGCTAATATATCTGATTGATACATGTCAAAATGCTAAATGCTGAATCCTGTCCACTGACTGTGCAACAAAGCATATTAGTAGGCCTAAACATATTGAATTTAGAATCATTAAGTGGAATTACGGTTAGTCTATCAGTTTGTTTGGGTTTGAGGCTCTATCTTGCGATGGAAAAATGGTAATGGGCCAGGATTGTAATATCTGTAAGACAGTTCCTCTAGTGTTTGGTGCAATCTTTTCATGCGTCGCTAGATCTAAACTGTTCATTTTTTGCTGTGTTTTTATTTTTTCAATTTCCACAAGCTTCCAGGTGAAGATATGAAGTAGTTTTTTGTTTGTCATAATGGCTCCATCAATATTTTTTTCTACAGGTTGGTTTCAAAATGTTCTTGGGGGTCACTGCATCTGTTACAAATTGGGATGCTGATGGAACATGTTGCAGTATTGTTCTGGAGGACAATCCTCTGGTAGACTTTGTTGAGCTTCCAGATACGTGCCAAGGTCTTTACTATTGCAATATCTTAAGTGGAGTTGTAAGAGGCGCCTTAGAAATGGTGAGTTGTACTTGTGATCTCATGTACTGCACTTGCCTTGACATGTGCCCCCTCTATGTGATGTATGGTTTTCCCTTTTTGCACTGGTCGCTATATAACAGAATACAACTTCTTACTCTTATACACGTCTCATTGGTATTGGCTTTTATTTTGACTTACATAGAGAACACCGTAACTTTCTACTTGTAGTTTCAATTTTATTCTTCCATTTAAAATATTAGTTACGGAAGTTGTAGCTAAAAAAGCCAGCTCGCTGCTAGTAACATCATTATCTATCTATTTATATATATTTTTTCAAACTTGGGGGAGTTTTATTCCTTACATAATTCTATTGTGCTTTGACTCAGCTTCAGTCGTAGTTTAGTTTTATTGATTCCTTTCTAATATGTATTGGTAGAAAGTTTTCCATTTTTTCTCCTACCGAATGATTTCGATTTTCTATTCCCCATGCACTTTTACTTATAGTATCTAAGAAAACTTGTATTACCTGCTTGAGGGGATTCAGCTGATTCGCAAGGCTAAAAGCACTTTCTGATGGGAATATGGGTCTTGAAGGTTCTATTAAAACCTAAAAAAATGAAGGGTGGTAGAGATTCTGTTTTGACGTCATATATGAGTTTTCTCCGTCTCTTTATTTTCTCTCTTGCCTCACAGTTACGTTGTTTCCATGGTCAGGTATCAATGAAGACTGAAATTAGTTGGATCCGTGATATGCTTCGAGGTGATGATGCATTCGAGTTGCAAGTTAAACTCCTGAAGCAAATTCCAGAAGAGTACCCGTACAAAGATGATGAGTAAAATGCTTGCACTAGCCTGATACATAAACAGTTTTATTTCTGCTTCCACCTTTTCCTTGAAGTCAAATGTTAGCAGCAGCTTGTTATGTCTTTAGCACGCGTTCGCGGACACAATGGATAACGGTGTTTTTATTTACTCGCCGTTTAGTTTTTGCCATTCCGATGAATCATTTTAACGGCTTAAATGTGCAATTTGCATGTTCTGCGACTCTCATCTTATTTTTCATGGAACGGTTTAGTACAAATTTCAAGAAGAAAGTTAGTTATTTAATTGGAATTTATTATTGTTCTAAAATTATTAATGTTTTATATATATAATTGTTGTGGGTTGTAAAGAGAAGCTATCCTTTTTTTCTTCTCTTTTTAATACATTCGATATTATCTGTACTAAAGCCAACTTCAATAGTTGCACTAAAACCAACTTCAATAGTTGGATTAAAACTAAGAACAGTTTAAGTTTTAAACTCTCCCAAAATTGCTCCAATCATTGGGCATAAAAGCAAATTTGGGTTAAAACCTATTCTTGGGCCATATTCTGCCCAAAATGCCAGTTAATCCTAAAATTCTGGCCACCGTTGGGGGTGCGCGCACATGAAAAAGAAACACTCGGTGCACTGACGTGCCCTTTGTCCCACGCTCGACAAAGCAGTTAGTGGTTAGTCGTGAATAATCTTCCAATGAGAGTTGAGTACTCAAGGAAAGAGCGAGATTGACATTACAAGTCACTGAATCCTTTCAACACTTATGGGTAAAGACCACGAAACCGGCTCCCCAGTGGAAGAAGCGACACTCGAATGGGTAAAACGCCAATGGAGTGCGCTTCCATAATTGTATATCGATTTCATCAAATGCTATATTGGTGAATACATACAATGTCTCTGTTAAACGATGCAAAGCCAATGAGAATCACTGAATGATGGAGCGAGTGGGCAAAATGTTTGTGTATCATCAATGGGTGAAGCACAATACTTCTGATCCCGATAAACTGAGCACCGTCAATCTAATTTTGTCAAGGAGCTCAGAAACAGTTTCCATACAAACCCTACGGGCACCGGCAGTATCTATACCGTGCAAGGCAGAAAGCTTAGTGAACATATAACGCCATGTTCGAAATCAGAAGCGCATCACGCTAATATCAGAAAAGACAGCCCAAATAAATAGAAGTCAATAGAACTCTCTCTTCCAGATTGTCATCACATTACTGGTTTTCCATAATTGTCAATTGATAAATTCTAGCTAATGTTCAAGGATCATTCTAAAGTGAGTCCTATGTCATTTTGTGACTTCATTCAATTGTACTCTCGCTAAGTAAATCAGGAGACTTGGAATCATACATTGGTAAGCCCACACATATTAAGTGAGAACTTCCTGTTGACCTTCTTCCTGTACTCTACCAAACTAACCATCATGATACCAGTACCAAGACAAACGAAACTTAAAGACTGTTATTCCAACAACTTTCAGCTGATTTGATAATCTACCGATCAAACCGTTCCACCCCCTTTTGACGATCTTTACACATGATTCTTTTGGACCTGCAAACAGGAAAGAACCACAAAGATGGAATATAATTGGCTTTGAGTCAGAACAAGTGAAGAATTTACAAAAGCTATAGACACTCATCACCCCAAGCAAGAAAAGTGCAACCAAGAACTGGGTGAAAGGAAATAGAGGACGATTCGTGTTTCTAAGGAGCGAGCTACTCATCGAAATGGGCATACTTATGGCTTCAACCGGAAGTAGGAGGGTTGGAAGATTTTGTGTCGAAAGTCTCTTTCGCAATGTTTGAGACTCCTAAAACAAAGTCCAGACAATCCCATCCATGTAAGCTCGAAGATCAATGACCCAAAGGTCTCTGAAAGACTCGTCCCCTCCCATGTCCCAAAGCGTACCAATTTGGGAAACCGTGGTCAGTTCGAAGTGTAAGAGATCAAGACATGTCCGACCAATACACTGAGAATTTGATAGGATAATTCATTTGTGCGAGTCCAGGAGGAAAATTAACATGCTTTTGATCAAACCTTCCTACTTCCAAGAGGAGATGGAGATTTACGAAAGAAAGCTCCTGTGGTATTGACTCCACTCAGGACCCTCTTGTCTACAGCTCCTTAAGGAAGTAAACAAGTTTGAAGGCCAACGCAAGCTGACTGACCTAATTGGAAACCACAACAGGCCTGACCCCTCATTACAAGGAATCCTCGTACACCCCATCCAAGCAAGGAAAGCAAGAAATTTGGCTTGCAACTCTACTACTGAAATGACCCTGATGAACACACTAACCTCTGAGTCCAACATGGCATACGCCACAAAATGATGCCTTCAAAGCTTAACGAATCTGACTGGGTCTTCGTCCTAACATCTGAAGATTAGACTCATTTGAGGAATGTGGGAACAGTTTGATTTCTCAACACATTTTTCCAGACCGAATCGCTTGCATTCTGCGGATGACTTTGTAAGATATTCGCAGAAGTTATCGTTGTACGTCCAGTATGCTGGACGCTTCAGTGACATCTCCGTGTGTGCCCCAGTGACGACAAAGACTGCCCCGCTCAAAGCCTTCAACGGCAATGCCTACGTGATTGTTATTCAAGTAAAATGATCAACCACAACTGGAGGACTTACTCTGCAAGGTGATGTCACATGCTTACAACTATGCCTCAGCCGAGGCAAGGGACATGCCAAAGGAGAAACCCCCCACAACCAATCCCCTTAGCAAGCCTAGCAGGAGTTGGAAGCCAAACTCCAACTAAATGAAAAAGACAATCACATTCCAAACGGCAACGGTGCATGCCCTGCTTCCTTAAAATACTTCGCCAAGTCAACAGACATATCAACTCTTAAGGGCAAACGAAAGATCCCATCTTCCTTCAGATATTAGTAAAAGGAGTAAAGGACACTATTGCGATAACCAAGGATCTGCCTACCCATCGATATCGCCTCCCCCAAGTCCACACAGTGGCAATACGTGTCAGGAAGGCCCTACACTCGAGTATGAGACTACAACCTTTGAATGCCAATGCCCCGGGCCATTTCCCGAGGTGATAGCACCACATAATACATGCCAATGCCTGGGGGGCAAGGGGGGGGGGGGCCCAAGAACATGGCATGTTTTTGCTGATACCATGAGCATAACGGCCATGACAGCGAAAAGTGTATCACCATTCGTGATCATATTGAAACTTTGGTGCGTGAAGGAAAAATTGATCAATTCATCCTTCATTCAAATTGGCAATAACTATAACCAACAGCCAAGTGAATGTGATTTATTCCATATCAGCCGGTGGGCACACCCATATCTGATCTTCCAACAAAGCAGAAAAAACGCTAAACGGACGAGCTTTAATGCCTGGTCACCAAGTGTTTGGAAGGACATTTAGGGGGGGCAAGTATCAAAAAGCCTAAATGGGATCCAATATGTTTCTACCCTGAGGAAGAAAGAGGTATCATCTACCCTTACAATGACCCACTGATCGTGGAAGCTCACATAGCCAACTTTGAAGTACTACGAATCCTGGTAAACACGGGGGCTTCAGTCAATATTCATGTTTGCTGAAGCTTTCAGGGCACTTAATATAGCTGAACACTTGCTCGATTCGCTCGATTTTCCTCTCCTCTATAGTTTCTCCGATGATGATCGTGCATTAGGGAGCATTACTTTACCTTTTCACCATTGGTATAATGCCCTTACATAACTACCATGTACCACTAACTTCTTGGTGGTTGATTGCCCAACGGCATACAATGTCATCTTTGGACGCACAGGCATCAATGATCTCAAGGCCATGGTATCTACACATATGTTGTTGATGAAATTTCCAATCCTCTATGGCAATGGTTACATCAGAGAAGATCAACTTAGTGCACGGTCATGTTTCACACTTTAGTCAAACAACATCACCTACCTATGCCCAAGGAAACCCTTTCTATACATGACCAAGTCATAAATACTAGCCCGAACGAAGCCAACTTAGATATTCACGATGACAACAGTCAACCTGACGATCCTCAAGACGACTATTTCACCCAACAAGCAAAACCCGCTGAAGAGTTAGAGAAGGTTTCTATCTCAAAAGATTATTCAGATCGCATGGTGAAGATTGGCACCACCTTGTCACCATCTATTTGGTTGTCATTGATTTCTTTTTTGCAAGAGAACACTGAGGTCTTCACCTGGTCATACGAAGACATACCAGACATCTCTCCCAATATCATATGTCATCACTTGAGTATTGACCCCAAGACCAAGCCGGTGAGACAGAAGCGAATATCTTATGACGCTGAACGATACGAAGCAATGAAGGCAGAAGTTGAAAAACTCAAAGGTATAGGCTTCGTCCGCGAAGTCAATTGCCCAACATAGGTAGAAAATGTGGTCCTTGTTAAGAAAAATCAAACCAAAGAAAAGTCTCCTGCTCCAAAAGGTCTTGTGGAGAATGTGTGTTGATTACACCGACCTAGACAAAGGATGTCCGAAGGATAACTTTCCTCTTCCTCTCATAGACAGACCTATAGACTCTATGGTAGGGTGTGAACTCCTCAGCTTCATAGATGTTTACTCAAGATACAACCAAATCCTCATGAACCCTCCGGACCAAGAACACACAGCCTTCATTATTGACATGGGACTATATTGCTATAAAGTCATGCCCTTCGGCCTAAAGAATGCAGGGGCGACTTATCAGAGACTGGTCAATTCAATGTTCGTCGAACAGATTGGGAAGAGCATGGAAGTTTACGTTGATGATATGCTAGTCAAGAGGAAACATGCTGACCAACACATCACCAACCTATCTGAAACTTTCACCATTCTGAAGAGGTATCGAATGAGGTTGAACCCCAACAAATGTGCCTTCGGCGTAGACTCTGGCAAAGTCTTAGGCTTCATGATAAGCCAACAAGGTATTGAGGCTAATCTCGAGAAGATCAAAGCAATCATCGACATGAAGGAACTGGTAACTTCAAAAGACATTCAGAGCCTTACTGGCAATGTGGCAGCCTTAACTAGGTTCATCTCTAAGGCCACAGACAGATGTGCTCCTTTCTTCAAAGCACTTAAGGGAAGTAAGAAGTACATTGCATGGACTGATGAATGTGTCGAGGCATTCAAGAACCTCAAAGACTACATGAGTAAAGCCCTTTTGCTTTCCAAACCTGAGGTTAGTGACACTCTCATTATCTATCTGTCGGTATCAGCTTCAGCAGTATGTTCTGTTCTCATTCGAAAAGATGGTAAT